TTTTTGAGCTATTTCTTTTTAATATGCTCATCCTGAAAATACTGGAATCACCACTAAATCTTTTCGATGAAAAAGAAAATATTCTGCCATCACCAAATTGCTTTCCTGCAATACTTAGTCGTTTCTTATCTGTGGTATCATTTAACATTCCAGTTTCTGAACCTTCAGTATTACTTCCACCTTCGACGCTCATAGTATCCCATTCATTAATATCACTACCCTTTGGTTCATCATCATCAAAATCAAATTCATCGGTTATTACAGGAGAATTTTCTTTGGATGCACTTAGCATACACACACCATAAACTAATGTAGCAATTCCAATTGTTACTAATAAGAGAGCCCACAGTGGATAAGTACTTATTTCATCAAGATATATCATAGAATTAACAAGACCCATGGCGGTATAAAATCCATAAAACATGGGCACTACTAAGACAGAATCATGCAATTTTAACGCGGTATTAAGACAGTATACCTGAAATAAAAAGAATAATTAATTATTAAAAAATTGATAATAAAATTTGACATAAGTTTCAAATTTTTACAAACCTGAAGTATAGCTGTTACGAGAAGACCAACCAGAATAAAATAACTTAAATTATCAGTGAACTGATTGGAAACGGTAACTGATATATAAAAAAGTTTAACACTAATTTAACGATAAAATAACAAATTAATAAAGGATTATCTATTTAATAAAATTCAAATAACAATAAATCTTTATAACAAACCCGCTTTTAGCCAACAATAACGTTTGACTTGCAATTAAGCCGCCTACACCAGCCATGGTCATTCCCACAGCTTTTTTCAATCGTTTTGTCTCTATCCCTTTTAAAAAATTGTCACGCATTTTTCTTTGTTCATCCTGAAGGATCCAGTAGCAATAAATGGCAACTCCGAATAATGCAAATGTAATAATATCAAGAAACGAAAAATATACAATAAATAGAGGACGTGTCATCAGTGACTTCAATTTTTCCAATGTAAGATTTTCATCTGTATATATATATATATGTGTATAAAAATCAAGTAAACTTATTACAAATAAACCATCTTAAGATAAAATAATGATAACTTACCATCTTGGCCTGTCATTCCACCAAATACTACAATCCATATCACACTAATTATTACAACAAATGTACCGATAATGTCAGCCCTTGTGATACTCGTACCTACTAGCATTCGAGCAAATACGAAATTAAAGATGAGTGAAATAGAACCAAGCGGTGCGACCCATTGCGCTTTGAGGTAATCTAGATTTAGTGTAGGTGTATTAAAATTTAAATCTTATAAAAAAGAAAGAAAAAAGCAATTAAATATATTAAAAAAAAAAGAACATACTTAGCGCAATAGTGCTTCCTACAAGTTGGCTAATAATATATAAATATAATCCAAAATGCCATAATGGTCTACCACATTCATGTCGTTGTGATTCTGGGGGCTTATACAAATTTTTAACATGATCTAGTTTTAGCAAATTAAGGCCAGCGGCGTTCATAACTGAAGCTGCAAAGGACACCAAAAAGCCAATAACAAAATTCAATATCTCCGACATCGAAGACATTCTGTTTAATTAATATTATACAATCCTTAACAAAAAGTATAAAAAAGCAGGATTTTTTATTTATTTTTTTTTAAGTTTGGTGTTTTTTTGGAAGTGTTCAGAACAAACGGAAAGTGACTTGTAAGAGGGGATTAAAAATGGAATGCCACGGAAGGTCTAATAATGATGAATTTTTGTTAATAAAAAATTAATATAAGATGGATGAATATATATGTTGTCAAGACACTTACGTTTAGAACTCCGATGAGAGGCGATCTACGAGTAAACGAAGTTCTTATGTACAGTACGTACGTACGTGGTGGTTTTAATACTTCGATAATTATTTTAACCTCTTTTATACAGCTTAGTACATTTGTGATACCTCAAAAGTAATTAAAATACCTAATGTGTCTTTTCCAAACAAAAAGGTACGAAAATAGGTATCGTGCATTATTATTGTGTTATATATCGATATGCAATCGGTCGATCTTTAGACAAAATCAATTTATAATTTACCCAGATTGCCGGGTTGACGTATTAGTATTACAGTGAAATGGCTCTAATGTAGTCGCCGACTAACCTGTCTTGCGTCGTCTATCTCGTCAATGTATGCTTTACTTTTATCGTTCTTTCATGGTTAGACCTTATATTGAAAAGAACCTTGTATCGGTACGGAAATTGTTTATTAAATATACTATGGACGCATATATGGTTATACATAATAAAGTGGTCTAAATTTCAATGCTTGTGGCCAAAAGAAGTATCCTTGTTGGATAAATTATATATGTTGATTTATATGCAGTATATTTATTTTCTTTATTTTTTTAAAATTTTCTCTTATTATTACACATATAACATTTATTACTACGTATTATATTGTTATTATAATATGTCTTTTACGTATTAGCGAAGCATAGGACTGATTTCTGGTGACCCTCAAACAAGGTACGTACGTACGTACGTAACTTTTAAAAATGTGGCCGCCAAAATTCCCGCCAAAGCGATGAGTCATTATTGACCTTATAATTGGTTACGAAAACACAAACAACAAATAAATATATATTATGTGTAACTTGTTCCGGAATTGTAACGGTTTCTATTTTCTATATTTGCCATAGTACTACCTAATGCTCCCCTGTGAATCACAAATAAATATTGTGTAAGACCCTGGTATTATCGTCCATCGAAAAAGTCTTGTATATCAGATATATAATTTTTTTTTTTTTTTTTTAGAATTAAAAAGTAATGTAGAGTTTTTTTTTTATAGCTAGCTATACACTACATATTTAAACCGAAATTACTACTACATATGAATGACTATTGAAACAATTAAATTGACATTTTTAGCTAATTAAAACCAATGTGATCGTGAATGTCTTACAACGAGTGTTGTACGTGAAACAGTCGGGGTAAAGTTGGGACAAAATTGAGAATTTACAAAAATGTGTCAATAACTCAAAATTTTATTAAGACAACTCAAGTAGGGTGCGGAACGGGCCGGCCCGCGGGCCTAAACGGGCTTTTTTTGGAAGTTAATTCTGTAATCTGGGCCACGTCCCAAAGTGGTGGTCACATGATAACTTATCATGTGACCAACACTTTGAGCTGGCCCGTTCCCTCAAGTAAAAGTGTTTTTAGTTTATTATTATTATTATTATTATTATTATTATTATTATTATTATTGAGATGGATTTTCAATCTAAATTGATAGGACAAGCTGGAACGTCCTGTGACAAGATGGGTCCCAGCGATCAAAATGTACAACCAGCGTGAAATTAAATGGTTTAATGTTTCTAAGATGAATTTCGCACATGGTTACAAAATAACTAAATCTACATATTGCAGGTATTACTCCAAAACATTTAAATATATATGAAATTAGTCATTATTTTAAATTAAAATTTTTAATGAATTCTTAATTTTTATTTTATTCTTGATTATGCAACTCGTATCAGATGCCGAAATCAAAATTTAGGTATGGTGATCTTAGTACGTATACGTAGTGATTAGGTTTGATTCAATAATTTGAATAATTCGAATTTGGATAGTTAAATTTTAAATAATTTATAATTTGAATAAACTGAGTAATGTATAGTTATTAGGCGTGTAGTGACCAATAATATATAGTTATTGATGCGAAACGGCCAATAACGAGAATATTTGTAAACTAATTCATTATATGCTGTGAAATTTAATTTATCTGCTTCTGGACCCAAAGGGGCTCAGAAATGAAACATATTAAATTTGCAACCAGATTATTATGGGTCGTGTAACATATAATAATGGTGTTATTCGATGATTTACAATGATTGTGATTGCTAAAATTACTTGAGTTTTTGGCAGGATTATATAAGCTGTCAAATAACGAAGTCATTTGGCAGATAATATAATTCCTTCCAAATACGTAATTTGAGTTTTTTGACAATAGCAAGAACGATTGTAATAAGTCGTCAAATTATTCAAATTATTCATTAAGTAAAATAAATATTTAAATTGGATAGTTTGAAAAGTATAAAACTTATTTAGCTATTATTTAAAGCTAATACAATTTGTTTTAATAATATTTGTTCTTGATTAGACTTTTTAATTTGCTAAAAATATAAGGCCATGTTTTTATTTTTTATTAAAATTAATTAAATTTTTTTTTACAAAAAATATATAAAAAAAAATTATATTTAAATTATATATTAAAGAATAATAAAACTAGAAGCTTAAACATAATATTAAACAAGAATTTAACATAATTATTTTATTTTATTTTAGAGCTAGCGATAGAGTAAAAATAAAGATTAAAATCAGAATATTATTCCTTAATCTGTAATCCAATTAGGGCAAATTTGCTAATTTTTTAAATATAAATATTTATGATTTAACTGTATAAAAATTAAAATATTTAATTTTATTTTTTTAACTAATATTTTAAAATATGTATTATATAATTATAATATTTGAATTTAATTTATAAGAAAAAATTTAGGTTGTATATTAGTTTAAAAATTAGTTATTTTAAAAAATTTTTACAATTTAAAAAAATTAATTATTTCAAAAAATTTTTACAATTTAAAAAAATTAGTTATTTATTATTAATTAATTTGTTATTCTTTAAATATTTTATTTCAATAAAATAGAATTTAATAAAAGGTCATTATTTTTTAGTGCACTCTGCACTTGGTGCACACCTCTTAATATCTCAAAATTTTACTAGGGTAACCCCTGTTGTGTGACTAATAAAAATGTTTTTTGTAAAGTTTTTATCCTAACCCAACTCTAAACCTAACCCTAAACCTAACTCTAACCTTAATTTACCATATATTACCGAATAGAAGCTACCAAAATTTTGAGAATTTTTTTAAACTAAAAAGAGAGAGTAGCTTCTATTCGGGTCCAATTTTATTATTAAAACATAATAACTTTCTCCAAATTTTTAATCCAAAATTGAGAGGATAGCTTTTATTCAGGGTAGCTTCTATTTAATAATATATGATAATACTTATTTATATTGATTTTGCTATAGTTTGTTATAAAGTGTACTGTGTGCACCCTGCACAAAATAATAATTTCCTTAATAAAATTTATTAAAAAAACAACTTTTATTATTATATAGTCAAATTTCTATATGATCACTTAGTTGGGAGTATAGGAACTTTTTTAAAAATATGCTTATAAAGAGATCATGCTTATATAGAGGCTTTTCTATATATTTATAGTAGTTTATTTAAAAAATTAAGTGCTTATATAGAGGTGTAATTACAAAAATGTAACTATATAGAGGTCTGACTGTAGTTTTTATAATTTTGTTATAAAAATTTGTATTAGAAGTAAAAAATTTTTTAGATTTAAAAACATATAAATTTTAAAAAATCTAAACTAAATTT